TCGTTTGAGTGCCGGAAAAGATCACGAGAGTATATGACGAAGGTGCCACGCAAGGCAGGTAGGCCCAATGCAAATGCACTTGGTTTCTACCGCGACTGTTAGGACTTGACCGACCATCACCGAATCGATGCTTTTTCTTTCGCCTTTATGAAAAGTAACTAATTATGTACAAGTAATTAATTATTTGTATATAAAAGAAGAAGCACAATCGCTCTTCGTGGCACTCGAACAGTTAATGTCAGATTGATCGTCTTTCGATAATGATTGTTTATCTTGTGATTATTACACTTGTATATTATTAAACGTATGCAGGTTTTAATTTTCCCATATAGAGAAAGATAGAGAGATCAATGATTTAAACTTGTTTGCATTTCTAGAATAATGAAAATTCCACAGATGTAATTAGTAAAACGTAAACAGCGCTCGTTAGAAACAATAGATGAACGATCGAAATCGATACAGAAAGTAGATTAATAATGTAAAGTGTGCAAAGAAATAAAAGCATCGACGAAAGCGTTGATATAAAATATCGATGTAGCGTGATTCATGATATCAATAGCAAAACATCGGTGCATCAATGATCATTAAACATAGAGATTTGTTAAACATATTTATGTTTCTATCCTCTATTCCTAATATGCTAATAAGAATGATTGTCATAGAGCGGACACCGAAATTATTGCTTACCTTGCTTATTACAATGACACAATTTCTGACACTAATTAAATGTAAAAAAAGGGTAACATTAAAAATGCATTTGCATTTGTTTATATTAAAGAAAAAAATACAAATGCGATAGTATCTGAAAAAAGTTTACGTATAAACCTGTAGGTTTCTGCAAAAGACAGTACGAAAGGAAAGTGCGAAATTTATCTTGTGTATCGCTTTAATAACATTTCAAAATGTGTAGAGACTAATTGGGCATACTTCTGTGACCCATCAGTAGATGGCCAAACTGGGAAAAAGGTTCTCGTAGTTATACTTTCACATACTTCTCTATATATATCTTCCGGTGCAGTTAAATACTCATAAACCATACTCAATATAATAAGTGGCAACACTTACATTTTTTGGATGTAGTTATAGTCGAAAACGTTATATTAATTCAAACATAATTTATTTTTAATTATTAATAATAAGAGTAATAAAATTTATTTAATTTTGTATTATGTATTTCTTCGTTCTCTTATTCTCTCATATTAATTTCTATCGTTACTCAAATATTTTTCTTTAATACACTGTTTATTCATCCATTTATCCTTTCGTACTTTCATAATATTATTAATATCATATTTTAAAATTATTCATTGTAACTTATTGCAACTTATTGATGTATGTGACAATATATAGCTAGAAAATTCTGTACTGTATGAGATGCTCACGTAAGAAATAAAAATTTAATTTAGAAGAAAATCTTAAATTGTAAGTATTTTAACAAACATATATATAAATCCTTATTTCAATATTTTTTTCTTATATTTTATGTCTTCCTTTTTCCTTTTGTATACCTTATTATTTATATTTTTCTCTTTTATCTTGAAAATTTCACCTATGTTTTACCGCTAAATGGACAAATACTTTTCTCGCAATAAAGATCATATATTTTTATTATATCTATGCAATACAGATGTAGACATAACATAGCTTTATATATATCCACAATACATGTTTTGAAACGTTTTCGATAAGAAACTACATGATGTAAAGCCAAAAGTAAAATATTCCCTTAATATGCATAATATAGATAAGCAATACTCGATCTATTGAAGTACGCTTACAACTTTTTGATTATTCAAAACGCAATTATTTCTCCAGTATCTTTACATTTCATTCATCAATTCTTTTATATATCAATATTCTAATTTTAATTAATTTTATTGAATTCTTTTAGACCTTGCATAATTTTATTACATACAGAGTGTTCCGAAAGATTGGGATCAAATTCAATACAATGTGTTAATAGGATTCAGTGGATAAAAAAAGTTTATATGAATCCATGTCCAAAAATGCCTTATTAAGAAGTTACAAGTGTTCAAAGATTTACAAGCAGAATTGTTCGGTGATTATTCAGATCAGGATACATCTCACTGATTTTTCTGCTGCTCAGATATGTTGTAGAGGAGGTTCTTCTGAGTAAACCCTTGCAAGAACCATATGGAGGACGGCGTGGTTGTACAGATATAACAAATTAAATTTATGCATGTATCGTAAAGGTACTTAATTACCGAAGGAATATTTAATTTCTTACAGCCAGCGCCTAGTTGGAATAATTACCGAACAATTCTGCTCGTAAATCTTTAAACGTTTACAACTTTTTAACAAAGTATTTTTCGGACGTAGATTCATCTAAACTTTTTTCATCTACTGGAGTTCATTAACACGCTGTATAAATTTAGTCCCATCCTTTCGAAACAACCTATATATTTTATAATTTTCTATACACGGTGATCCACGAGTCTGGGCCAGGTTCTGGCATTTGTTCCGTTGAAGATAGAACAAAATGGTAAAGGCGAAAGTTAAATGGCATAATTGCAATTGCAGTTGCACTTTTTTCTGTTGCACCACTTGTGAAAAAACGAGTCGATGGAAAAGTTTTTCATGTTGTGCCATTTAACTTTCGCCTTTATCATTTTTTTCTATCTTCAATCTTCTATCTTCTATCTTCAATAGAACAAGGCTAGAACCCGGTCGCAGTTCCGTGGACCACCCTCTCTCTGTATACTATAGTTTTCAAAAGCATTTTAAAAAAGTGATTATTAATGTAAATTCGGAAAACAAATATTATTTCTTTTGTCATTTAGGTAAAATAACGTACATCGATGATGGTATTGTAATTACAGCAACAATCTAATGTTTACTGAATAAAAATGGACAATGAATAAACAGTGAGAGAGAGAGAGAAAGAGAGAATTCAAATATTTGTTATTAATATCTAGAAGATACTACAATATGAGTTTAAGCAATTATAATTTAACATCTTAAATAATTTTTTTTAATTTTTGATACTACAAAACAAGTATTTTAGAAAAAATTATGTTTTGTTAAAAAAGACACACATCTAATAAAAGTTAATATTTTATCAATCTTATATGTTTTGTAAATTTCAGTGATTTTAATTTTTTCTAATAACGTATGATTTAAATAAATCATGTTACTAAAGAAAATAAATAAATAAAAAGTGAACACTTTACGAGATGTTTCATATATCATTCTGATAAATTTTGACATGAACTATTTCTTTATTTTATGTAATATAGAGCTCTTACAGAAAAAAATAGACTTATCAAAAATTCTATTTCGTACCGCTAAATGGAAGAATGCTACATTATTTTTTCATATTTAAGATTATATTCTTTTACTATATGTTTGTGACATATTTAATTCAATTTTCCTAAATATACTTATTATTTTATATTGTGTTACATTTTTAAGTAATTGAAACGTTGGTTTCTTTTACTTTGTATATATATGTATAATTATTGCACAAAGCATGCAAGGTATTATTTAATGCACTGCCAATAGTCACAATCAAATATATTGTTGTTGTATTAACACAAAAATATCAATAATAAAGAAATCAATATGCAATCTCAATCCAATTATTGCTGAAATAATAAATAAACTTGAAAGAACAATTTCTATTCTCAAGTGTACTAAAAAAATATGTTACCAAAATATAATATAAATGCAATTAGTTAGTTATGTTATTAATTTCCTTATTAAACATTTCTTTTTTAATATAAGCGTTATCTTTATTTAATCCTGTAAACACAAATATGTAGTAGAAAAATCAATTTTAAATGTAACAATATAAACAATTTCTTTAAATTAAAGTTTTTTTATATATTATGTATAAAAATTAATGCAAAAATACACTTGTAAAAATAAATTAAATAAAAATAAAGCAACCTTTTTTCCAGTTATACTATAAAATATTAGATATCTAAAAATAGTTCTGTGATTTATCATTAGATGGCCAAACATGAGAATAGTTTCTCATAGTTAAAACTTGTTATATTTCTTTATATATATTACACATTTACTATATGATTATAAGCAATATACAATATATGTATTTATTACATTTTTTGGCAGTAAGCCTTAGTTTTGAAAAACCCGATCAAATTTAGAAAAATAAAATTTATTATGAGCATACAATCACAATCGACTCGATATACCCTAGTATTATACTCGATACTTAATCATAAAAAATTTCATGTATATATATATACATATATATTAGTGTATTTAATGAAGGTAAAGAATACTAAATTTTTTACATAGATTATCTTTTCTTAATAGTAGCAAATTTCCGTAAAAAACTATTTAGCAGAAAATTTTATTTGATGATATTTTCGAATAATAACATCATTAAATTGTAGATATAATTTTTTAATTGCAAAGATTCTGTATCGTAATTCTGTATCGTTTTAACGTGTTAATCTTTGGTTTGATACAAATACATCTTAATGAGTAATTTGTTACTTTAATTTTTTTAAATATTAATCTAAAACTTTAAAAACATGTATCTTCGACATATACTTTTCTTTTATTACAACAAATTAAATATATTTAAAATGAATATAGTGCATAATTTAGAGATTTGTCTACAAAGAAAAAATAATTATTTAGATTTATTAACACATCTAAAATATATATACATATATTAAATATATATTTAAAAAAAACTGTCTACATATATTTAAAACTGTCTACATAAAATTTAAAAATTTTAGTTATATTTGATATATAAACACTTAGCTTGTTAAATTTGGTACAAGTAAACTAGAACATAATTGATTAACAGACAGTACTTTTATTTCTCTCCTCCAGATGGATAAGTACATTAGCATTTTCTCGTATTCAAGATTACATATTGTAACTATATTATATGATATATTAAGAATAACATATCAAACAATTTTATATCCATAACACATTTTTTGGACGTTTTTTGAGAAGACGTTTTACTGAGTGAAATCCAAAATAAATCTATGTTTTTCCAATTGTAAGTAGAAAGATAAATCCACTATATGTTCAACGTTCCTTTTTTTAGAAAAGCGCTTATTTCTTCCTCATCTATAAATTGTATTAATTGTATTAGATGATTTTATTTAATATTTTAATTATTATTATTATAATTTTTCTAAATTATTATTATTAGATTTTACTAAATATTATTTATTACTCTATATTTTATCTTCAAAAAAATTTTAGATATATTTAAATTGTGAATTTCTTCTATATTATATGTATATTTATATGTAGGTCTATTTATATACATAAAAATGTACACGAAAACTCCTAAAACACTGACTCTTTGATATCTATGAACAATTTCACCTTTATACAAAATGTGCGAATTATATGCGAATGTACAACGAAAAACTAATAATAGACTTTATAGGTAAAAAAACCTACTAAAAATACATAACTCTCTTACCTAAGAGAAGTGAACTTAAAAGAAAATTTTCAAGAACATCAGATCTAAATAACTAATTAAAATATTAATCTATAAAGGCTAGCCTTAGACTACCTGAAAGACTGAATAGAATTTTTGTCGCTAGATGGCCAAACAGAAAAAATAGTTTCTCGTAGTTGAAATCTTATATACGTCTCTATATATATATTGCACGTTAATCGTTTAGTTCATAAGCAATACTTAATACAGTATCTATTTTTTGAAAGCAAAATTTTTTTTATAAAACGTAAACGTATTTCAAAAGATAATTTTTTTTATAGCATTTAAGTAATAGAAAGAGAAGAGTATCAGAGTTTTTAATGGGCTTTCTTTCACTATTTCTATTCTAGTATAGAAATAGCGAATATTCTTGTAACTTTTAAAAAAATAATTATTTATTTTCAAATCTTGTTATCGATTATATATAAATATGATTTTATAATCACAAAAGTTAGATACATGATTATGTGTTAATTGGATAATATTTTTAAATTAATATTAATAAATAACAAATTCTTCTCAATTTCTATAAAAAGATAGAGTATCAAATAATGGATGTTTTTCATTACATAATTATTATACAAATGTGTATTAATTTTGTTTTGTATGCTCCTAACAGTTAAATACAAAACATTTTTCTTATTAAAATTTTACTTTTCTAATTTATAAATATAATTTGTTAAACTAACATTTATAGACTTTATATATGAAGATTTGAAGAAAGTAGAAATACAAAATTTGGGTCAAAAATAGAAATAAATGCAAATAAAAATAATAGCATTCTACAACGCTAGATGGATGTATAGTATAGCATTTTCTCGTAATTAAATACTGTTTCTTCTACTATTTATCTTACAAAGCACCAATTTGCGCTCCATAACTTTATATCCATACCACATTTTTTGGGACGTTTAAGGCTTCCCATATACTAAACGCAAAATCTAAGATAAAACGTTTTCTTTTTTAATATAGATAGATTTATATCAAAGTTGTCACAATTTTGTGATATACAAGTCAGAAGCAAAAGATGCTCACTTACTCTTCAAAATAGCTTTAATTTACATTATAATTTATTTTAATTAACATATATAGAAATAATCCATTATGTATTTTAAATTTTATATCTATAATGTAAATTGAAACGTTCATATTCTCTTTTGCATAAGACATAAACATTCTAATAAACTAAATCCATACATCTTAGCGATATATATATTTTCTTTTTCTTATTTTAATTATATTTATGTGATATAATAATTTCATATTTCAAGTTTTTTATTTACGTTACTAGATCGAACAAATTTTTGAAACCTTACGTATTCCCGTCCGAGATTCTCTTTTATCGCGGAGTTAAAGAATGAAAAAATAGAGAGAAAGAAAGACGGAAAAACCCCCTTTTACGTGTTCCCCTTTTTTAACCCTCGGAGGCTGCTAGCACCTGGACCCAAAACTGTTCACCCTTCCTACTTTTTAGAGTTCCCCCTTTCTCCAGTCTACAGCTCCTGATTCGAAGCTTTACCCCCTGCACGATTGCTCGAAGGGTTGTTTTAAATAATAATAACTCAACCCCGATCGCACATAGGACGACGAACTCGATGCTCTTCAAGCTTCAGTATGTTACCGGTAAGGCCACGTGTTCTTTCGCGTCGCGTAATTTTATATCTAATCTCGTAGTGATTCAGATATTGCAAATGTATTATTTTAACAATTATATACAAAGTGTATATGTGTGATCATTAATTATGTTATACATATATTACGTTATGTTAAAATGGATTTCGTTAACTTTGCTGAAATATTCCGAAATTCTATGTTACTGTTACGATATAAATAATATAAATAATACAAAATATATTAATAATTTTCCTGACAAATGTTAAATAAAAATCTATAATTTTATAACTCCAATAAAGGTAAGATATCTTTACTTTTTTAGAATGTAAGCAATTTTGTGGTTATTCTCGTGTTTATAAACATAAATAAAGTAATACTACATATAAAAGATTACATATTAGGTGATCACCAAATTAATGATCACCAAAAAAGTTCTTCCCATTTTTCGATAATCATATTTCTCGGAATTGTTTAAGAACTGATGTAAATATAATCTGATGGTTTCGTAACATACATTAAATGCAAATTTTTTGTACGTTAATTTCGAATTTGCCACGAATTTGCTACTTTCAATTCGTCATAATTCAGGGATGTCTATTTCCCCGTCAGGGAAGCATCTTTCAGGGATTTATCCCTGGTAGTGCAAATCTGAAATTAATGCAAATTTTTTAAACTAATGCTGAGCGGTTCTTTTCTTTACTGCATTTTCTTTAAATGCAGAGCAAATTTTTTGGCAAACTAACGCTTTCTAACGTTTTGGAATCAAGTTTTTTAACTCGTACAATAAATAAACATGAATCACGCTTACTTAAACAGATATTAAAGGGGTTAAAATACTTATTTAACTTAAACTTTACAACTTGATATGCAGTAACTAAATAAAGTAAAGTAGGTATATATTTTACAGTAAAAAGAAAATTCCCTGTACAACTAGTCATGATTAGACTAGATAACATAAACAATTCCGAGAATTATGACTAACAAAAAAAGGTAAAAACTTTTTTGGTTACCTAATATTAATATAATTTTAACACAATTTTAATATTAATAATATTAACATAATTTTAAACCAAAGATACGTTAAATTTTTTAAGAAAATATTGTGCATAATCTTTACTCGATAATCAAAATTATAAACAGTTTATTCCAGTGTTTCTTAAAATTCATTAACTAATTTTAATGTGTCAACAAAAAAAACAAAGAATTAAGGAAAAGCATCACTGACCTTCTGAACAATGATTGGTGAGAAGTGTAAAGAAATCGAAGTGGCCACGGCGTGAAGTCAATGAAACCGCATTTCGTTTCGCACAATGCTCCAGTTTTTCTGTGGTTCCTAACGGTAGTTGACGGATGTCATCGCCGTTGTTGGAGAACAACAAGAAGAGTCCAAGGAACTTCAATGGCAATCTGTGACGTGCAATAGCTTTGGTAATTTGTTCCATTGCCGAACAGGTTCGTTCGACCGTTGCGCGACGGAGAAAATCAATCGTATACGCCGCCGTGTAACTTCAAGATCTCGGCGAAGAGAGAAGGCAAGAAGAATCTTACTACGATCTCTTCCGTTCATCTTCATTTCAAGATCTTACTGCAGATTATCGGTTCTTTCCTTCAACAGTTTTGTTGCTGATTCATAGCTGGTAAGTAGTTTTGCATGTGTGATCTAAATATAGTTTAGATAT